CAGAGGAGCAGGAACATAAATGCTCACGTCATCTGAACAGCCTTGTAACCCTGTGGATGCCATTTACTTCAACAAAGTGTGAGTTCTTGACATTTTAACCCCTGAATACCCTGAACATTTATTTAACACAAAATCATAGAATCATAGAATGGTTTGGGTTGGAAGGGGCCTTAAAGATCACCTAGTTCCAACCCCCGGCCATGGAGAGGGACACCTCCCACTAGACCAGTTTGCTCAAAGCCCAACCTGGCCTTGAGCACTTCCAGGGAGGGGGCACCCAGAACATCTCTAGGCAACCTGTTCCAGTGCCTCACCACTCTCATAGTACTCCTACAGAGAAACGTATTCTGGCAGGCTTAGTTTTACCCAGACTGGCTAGGATGGAAGTAAACAGCTTGTATCCGTGTTTCTGCATGTGATTGCTACTGCCAGACAAAATCTATATACGTATCAAGCATATTTAGACAAGTAAATCCTTTTAAATCCTGGCTAGGGGGAAAAAAAGGTAAAAAGCCCCAGAGCTAACACATGCTTCTGTGACCACAACTACATGTGAGGTATGCTTCCAAAAGCAAAAACAAACACTCCCTGACCCAAAATCCCATCAGCTTATACTTTCATTGCCTCAACAACAAAGCCTACTTTGTGCCACAAAGCATCTTAAACCTGGCATTTTCTCAGCTTGCTGTACTAATTATTCTTTGTACACCCAGGTCAGCTTGGCCCAAAAGGCAAACTGGGCAATGATCAGCAAAGAGATCATGTGAGTCTTTGCATAAGTAGGTTTGATACAGCATGAGTCAATAGTCTGGTTTTCAAGGAGTTTAAAAGCCTCAGAGGGAGAGGTTCGGATTTCCTTCAGATGAACTTATTCTTCAGGACTCCTCACTGGTTGAGAAGGGGCAGAAGGCTCAATAGAAATATTCTGGGAAAATAAGATCAGGGAGGGCTTCATATTCTCTAAATGCTCTTCTATTAGTTTAAGTTTCTGGATGGTCTAAGATGATCCCCTTTTTTAAAAAAAGAACCTTTTATAACAATTTCTTTTTAAGAAACAGCTTCCCTGGCACTGCCATACAAATGGACTGCGGTGCAGCCAACATTATCACAAACCTAATTCAGCTACATTTAAAGGAATGATCCTTTCTTTGTGTTGACTCCATGACAATCAACACAAGGGTTAAAGAAAGCCTATCCACTTCAGTCCAGCTGTAGTCTGGGCTGAACTGAGTCAGACTGAGGTGAACACAAGGACATACTGTCCCATAAAAACAATGTCTGTTTCTCATTTGTAGGTAGTAAATAAGATCTATTTTACCTTTCAGCAAAGCTATCAAGTTTTCCCAACTCATCTGACAGGCCAACAAGAGCATCCAGTGTCCCCACCTGTGCAAAAGATGAGAAGTAGGTGAAAGATGCCCAAGTCTGTCTGAGGCTTCTGTTGGTAGAGTCTTAGGGACATCAACTTGTGTTTAGTGCTTGTGAATTCATTTGGCAGAACTTTATTTACTTGGTGGAAAATAGTAGCAATTCTTTTACCCGAGACCTAGGGCATTAAAAGCCTTTTCCAATAAAGGAAAAAAATACATGTACTCCCAAGATTACACGTCAGCTTCTTCCTTCCTGTTTTCATTCCTGTATCATCAAGCTGCACAGACCAGTCTCTAACCAGATAAATATTGACTAGAAATGCACACAATATAGACACAAACAAATCAGATGTATTGAGAGAACCAAGGGGAGCAGCACTTATTCAACAGGAGGTCTCTGTCTGTGTTCTTTGCTATCACCAAAGACTGAGCCTCTATGGTTCTAGACACTCAGCTACTTCCTTTGCATTGGCAATCCAACAGATCCAACATGTACAACACTGTGTGACACCGTGACTGGGAGCAAATGGTACATTGAATGCAACAGATTGTTCAGCTCATCTCACTCATCTTCACTCCTTATACACCTGTCCTTCCAAGGCAAAGGTCAGCCTCAAGCACAATGACTTCTTTTCTCTCTGATCAATTTTCAGTTGACTGAACACAACTTTTCACAATTGCAATCATCTTCTACTTTGTGCATATTATCCCAAAAGATAAATCTCACATTTATCCCAAAAGTCTTCAGCCCTGACTAATGCTGCTGTATCATTCACACACAAACCCCTTCTTCATTTACCTTTAAGTCCGGAATATGGAATTTGCTGTTGCTGGACAGGTTGGATTTAGATGTCACCGTGTTCATTCTCTCCCATGCCTGCAGGTTTGTCTTGTCTCCTGGGGCGGAAATTAACCAGAACTCCGACATCATCTGATGTTTTCTCTTTGCTTCTGGTTACTGTAGAAACACAAAGCAGGTAGGTGGCTAAAAGAGCACTGCACAAAATGTGCTCTTCCCCAAAAATAGAAAGAGTTAGAACAGATCACTGATTTTTTTTTTTTTTTTTTTTTTTTTTATTATTTTTTATTTTTTTTTTCAGAAACACCAGGAGAGTGAGTCAGTCCTGTATCTCTGGCTGAAATGGAGCATGACCTTCTTCAGAATGTCATGGCAAGAGTGCGCCCGTTCCTCCTTTCTCAGGGTTGTGCCATCCAGTTTCTGAATGAAGAAATGAAGCTTCCTCCCCCCCTTTTCTCTCAGACTTCTCCATTCGCTTTGCACTCTAAGTCCAGTCTCCACTGTGGAGTTTGGGCACTTCTCTAAACTACCCAAATGTAACTAAGGATTTCTGTTTGATAAATACCATCTGTAAAAGTTTTGGTCTCTTGCAGGCAAAAGTAAAAGCAAGATGTAAAAAGACCTTTGCTGAACATATGGGCTGCAAAAGATGCTACTGGCAAGACGGAATATTGCTCTACCTGTGTTTTTCTCCCCGGCGTGGCTAGGAGGGAGCTGGAAGAAGGCAGGCGGCGGTGCAGGGAGACGTTATCAGCAGAGCAACATGGTCACAAGAGCCGCGAGAATCCACGGGGCAGCCCCCGCAGGGCGGAGGGCAGGGCAGCGAGAAGCAGAACGGCACGGATCCCTCCCGGGGCGCTCAGCCAGCGCTCTGCCCGGCTCTCAGGGCGCCGCCCGCCCGGCACGCCTCGGGGGCGTGG